TCCTCCTCCTGTCCTCTTCTGTCAGTCCTCCTCCTCCTGTCCTCTTCTGTCAGTCCTCCTCCTCCTGTCCTCTTCTGTCAGTATTCATGTCTCACCCTCCTACTGTCCTTCTCCTTACCCCCTACTTTCCACTTTCCACTTCTCCACCTCCCCCTCATCTGCTCATCTCTTCTTCTGTTGACCTTTCATTTGTCCACCCTCCTCTTCCTATCCTCTCCTTCCAGTCCTCCTCCTCCTCCTGTCTTCTCCTTCCAGTCCTCCTCCTCCTGTCTTCTCCTTCCAGTCCTCCTCCTCCTGTCTTCTCCTTCCAGTCCTCCTCCTCCTGTCCTCTCCTGTCAGTCCTCGTCAACAGCGGTAATCATACATTGCTGTCCCACAGCTGATCTGACGTCTCTCTCCCTGCGTTTCTCCTCAGGGAGGCTCTAAAGCCGTCATGTCGGACGCCGTCCAGCTGCAGTCTCAGTCGCAGGTCCAGATCACCCAGCTGTACGAGGAGAACACCAACAAACGTCCTGTCCTGACCTCCCAGCCCAACGGCCTGGCTCCTCTCAGCTCCGCCCGGCCGGGTCTGCCGCTGCCGGACCGCCAGACCTCGACCTCAGAGCCCCCCCATCACTGCCGGCAGAGCAGCGCCGCCTCCACCAAGTCGACGGACAGCAAGCCAAAGCCCACGCCGCTGACCCCGGAGCAGGCCATGAAGCAGTTCATGTCCAAGATGTCATCGTTCGAACACCAAGAGGTCTTCAGCTTCCCTGAAGGTGTGCGGCTTTAGACTGTGATAACAAACCAATAAACCGATCCATCAACTGATCAATGAAAATAATCACGTACTTCTTCCCTCTCAGTGTATTTCGTTGGTCCGAATGCTAAGAAGAGGTCAGGGGTCATGGGAGGAGCCAACAACGGCGGCTACGACGATGATCAGGGATCCTACATCCACGTTCCACACGACCAAATCTCCTACCGCTACGAAGTCCTGAAGGTCATCGGCAAGGGCAGCTTCGGACAGGTACGACGAATAACAGCACTACTGATGTACTACGAGTACGACTAATGAAGGTTGATCCTACGATGTACGATGCACATTGCAGTGTGTATAGTATATATTTATGCCTTTGTGGGGGCATTATGTTTTCGGGTTGTCCGTCCATATGTCTGCAAGTCCGTCCCATCCTTGGCACAAACGTCCTCATTGACTCAACGATGCACTGATTCGATTTTGGTGGTTGTAGGTCAAAGGTCAAGGTCTGTTTGACCTCATCTGTGTTATTCTTGTGAATGTGATATCTCTAGAACAGTGTGAGGGAATTTCTTTTTAAATTTGACACAAACGTCCACTTTGACTGAAGTATAGGTGGATTAGAATTTTGTGGTCGAGGGTCAAAGGTCATTGTGACCTCACAAAACATGTTTTTGTCCATAACTGAAGAATTCATTCACTTATTCTGACCAAACTTGACACAAATGTCTGACAGGATAAAATAATGAAGGTCAAAAGGTCAAAGGTCAGCTTGACTGTGACATCATCATGTTTTAACGTCATATCTCAGGAACAGAAGGGGAGACATTTGGTCAGATACTGAATTGGTGACTCTAATCTTGAAACTGTGCTGATTGTATAGATCTTCTGTGTGTGAAGCATCCATGTTTTCACTGACATGGATGGAGACTGTCAGAGACACTGGACTGGTGGGCGGAGTCATACAACCACAGGGTGACTGGTGGGCGGAGTCATACAACCACAGGGTGGACTGGTGGGCGGAGTCATACAACCACAGGGTGGGGATTATAGTTGTCATTGGAGTCTGGTGGCTTTAATGAGAGCATAGAAAGGCAACTGAATCATTGTACAACCCCACGTCAAAAAATCTGAACTCTCCCTTTACAGGGTAAAAGTGAATTTAAAGACGTTAAGCCAGCTGGAAGGAAACAGATGTGTGATGTTTGTCCAGAAACACAAAAAAATATTCCATCATAAGTTTTGTTTTCATCTGATCATGGTAAGAACCACCTGGTCTTGAAGGGTTTGAGACGAACAAAGTGTTTCTCGTCCTGCTGCAGGTGGTGAAGGCCTTCGACCACAAGTCTCAGACCCACGTGGCTCTGAAGATGGTCCGCAACGAGAAGCGCTTCCACCGGCAGGCGGCAGAGGAGATCCGCATCCTGGAGCACCTGAGGAAGCAGGACAAGGACTCCAGCATGAACGTCATCCACATGCTGGAGAACTTCACCTTCAGGAACCACATCTGCATGACCTTTGAGCTGCTCAGCATGAACCTGTACGAGCTCATCAAGAAGAACAAGTTCCAGGGCTTCAGCCTCCCGCTGGTCAGGAAGTTCGCCCACTCCATCCTGCAGTGTCTCGACTCGCTGCACAAAAACCGCATCATCCACTGCGACCTCAAGCCTGAGAACATTTTACTCAAGCAGCAGGGACGCAGCGGCATCAAGGTGAGACCCAAAAATGATTTTTGCTTTCAAGAAGGAACCACCAACTCAACTGTTCAAAAGTTTGTAGTTTATATTGATGATGGTCTTCTTTCCTTCAATAACAACTTTTTTAACAGTGATAAAAACAATATAATCCATGTGTTATTTACCTTTCTTATAGTTTTGGCCCCCAAAAGATGAGATTCCAAACTTTATAACAGTTTTTTATGTTTGTGTTTTCCATCCATAAAACATTCTGTTTCTCCATCTCCTCCCAGGTCATAGATTTTGGTTCGAGCTGTTATGAACATCAGAGAGTTTACACCTACATCCAGTCCAGGTTCTACCGAGCACCAGAGGTCATTCTAGGTAAGACGGACCAACGGAAAGCAGCCTTTGGTCGACACTGAGTCAACACATGTTAATGAGCTGCTCCTTCAGCTTTTCACTTCATTTTTGGCCACTAGTCTCAGTTCATACCAGCCACAAGAATCAAACTTTCTGAAACTCTGCAGAGTCAACATTTTCTCAGCTTTACACAGACTTAACATTACAGCTAAAGCCGGGTTCACACAACACAACATGTTTGTCTGTTCCAACAGTCACTATGTCAGATGAGGTCATTGCCAGTTCACACCGATGTATGTACGCATATACGTATAATTAATTACTGAGAATTAAAGAATTAATGAGCAGATCATTTTGATGACTCCAGGTTTTGATCTCTGTCTTCCAGGTGCCAGGTACGGGATGCCAATCGACATGTGGTCTCTTGGCTGCATCCTGGCAGAGCTGCTGACCGGTTACCCACTGTTGCCGGGCGAAGACGAAGCCGACCAGCTGGCCTGCATCATCGAGCTTCTGGGCATGCCAAGCCAGAAGCTCCTCGACGCCTCCAAGAGAGCCAAGAACTTTGTGTCATCTAAAGGATACCCCCGGTACTGCACCGTCACCACGCTGCCCGACGGCACCACCGTGCTGAACGGTGGCCGCTCACGGCGAGGGAAGGTACGCGGCCCACCAGGCAGCAAGGAATGGAGCACGGCGCTGAAGGGCTGCGATGACCCGCTGTTCCTGGACTTCCTCAAACAATGTCTGGAGTGGGACCCTGCGCTCAGGATGACACCCAGCCAGGCGCTGCGCCACCCGTGGCTGAGGAGACGACTCCCCAAGCCGCCGACAGGAACCACCACAGAGAAGACCTCCTCCTCTAAACGGGGCACCACCACCACTGACGGCGCCATCACCTCCATCTCCAAGTTCGCCACCACCTCCTCAACCACCACGTCCTCCTCCTCCAAAACCAGGACTAACTTGGCAGCGATCACCGATGCCAATGGAAACATCCAGCCTCGGACGGTGCTGCCCAAACTAGTCAGCTGAGAGTGAACGCACCCCGCTCGCTGCAGTGGGAGTTGCCGCTCGTGAGCAAACCAGCTGGAACTAAAATAAAACTGGTTTTGTCCAGTTTTGAAAAGCGTTTGTTTTATTTCACGCTGGTTTTCACAGCGTTGTTGGGAGTGCATTCAGGACAAACGCAGTGAGCTTCGGGGTGTTAAGATGTGCAACAAACAGCCGGGCTGCGATGTTCGCTGCACTGAAGGATACTTTATAGATAAACCTGGGTGCGTTCAGACTCATTGTGAGCAGGAAGTGACCACACGTTTAGGATGATGGTGGGGCTGCTCAGACAATCATCACTCTGTAGCTCCAAACACTCAGACACATCCACAAACATGGTGCTGACGGAGGGAACAAGGCTTTTTTATGTTTCTACCACAGAATCTTTTTAGCTGAGCTGATTAATCGACACCAAAAACAACTTTGTATGACGTTAGTCTTACAGGGTTATATCTGCGGACAGTCGTTGGGTCAGATACAGTCAGATATGTCCTTGTAACACTAAAAAAAAACAAAAAAAACAATTAGCTTTCTAATCTGTGTTTCATATCACTATGAAACAATCCTGTCTTATGTTTTAGTTTTGGGATCATTGGGGAGCATTTTGTTGTTACTTTGACTTAAATTATCACACGATTAATCAGAAAACCTAATCCTAGCGACCCTGACTGAAGCATCTACCTGTTAGCTTTGTGCCTGTCAGCTGGCTAACTGTTAACTGGCTAATAACCACTGGTTAGTTGTGTTTAGGTGTCACTTTGCTACCTTTTAACCGGCTAGCAGTTAGCCTAGCAAACTTTAAATCAGTCAGCTCACTACAGCTGGCTCACTATTTGCCTTTTTTTGGCAGTCTGGTGGCTAGCGTTAGCCTTTTCTTAGCCATAGCCTGTTAGCTCTCCACTGCCCAGCCTTACGAAGCACAGACTTAGACTTTATAAGTGTTTATAGTTGTCTGAAGGTTCGTAGAGAAGAGGAGGGAGTCAAAACAAGTATGTTTGGGTAAAGTCACACCATTTTGTTCCCTATTATTTAACCATATCTGATTATTCAGGATGCAAAATGGCCGAGGGCGCGAAGAGAAAAGAAGAAGGTAGAGTGAAGGCAGTTTAACAGACAAGTCTTAAAATTAAAGGGCTCTAATATTTAAAAAAAATGTTGGCAAGCAAAGTCTGAAAAATGAACAGTATGAACTGAAACAGCAGGTTAGCATTTAATTAGCCAAACTAAGTTCTGATCCAATTAAATATTAATATATTTGACAAGTCATGAATGCAAAAAAAAAATGTAACACTGTGGTAGTTGTCTGTGTACTTGACACACTACAACCATTTTAAATTATTGCTTTTATGAATTAATGTTAACTGAAAGAAGAGTAAATAACTATCAAGGCTAATTCATGTTTTAGCATGCTAATAAAACCCCAGGCTTTGGGGAAACACTTAGACACACAAAAATCACATGTCACAGCAGAGAGCAGCGTTTGTTTAGCTGTAAAATGTGGAGGAAGAGGCGACCCAGCGTGCAGAGCTGAAAGTCACAGTGGCTCCATTTCACAGCTTTAAATCACAGATGAAATCAGTCTACATGGAGCCTCTGTGTCTGAATAATAAAGATTTTTTATGACCGTCAGTAAACTTTATGGAACATGAGCTCAGTGTCACATACAGCCTGAGGGCACCTAACATAAAGGACAACAAGACGAGGTGTGCTGTTTGTATCCGGATACATCAGCCTGGGTTAAACTGCAGCGTTTTGTCTCGCATGTCAAACAGAGAGCCAAGATTTAAATTCCTACACCGGTTGAACGCCTCCTGAAGACGTGGCTTAAACTGAAGGTGAAGACTCAGACAAGGAAGTGTAATTTTATTTGGAAGAAAAACCTCCTGAGCAGCATATTTACAGTCTGCTGTCTCTGAGAGGAAGAATCAGTCGCGTGACGGTGCTCCGGCTTTAATTCAGGGTTTCTTCTCAAGTAATAAACAATTTAGACACTAAACATATCCACTAAAACACGTAATCATTAAAACGGGTCCAGTCACATCGGTATGTGTCGCAGTCAGTTGTGATACATGTGTGCTTAAATGTTTCAACGGACATTAGCAAAAGAAAATGCAAATTAATGTGCGTCTCCATCCACTACCTTTATGCTAATATTACAGCTAATAATATTACGCTAATGACAGTGGATGCCACTGTTTCTGCAGTCAGGTGTCATTAAACTGGTGAAAAGAGATGACACAAATTAAAGCGGTCCAATACAGTGACAAACGAATGTAAACAATGTGGAAAACACAAATGTTTACGATGCATGAAAATCAGTTCCAGTAGCATGACATATGATAAATGTGACATTATTGTCATGTCCTACTCCTGCAGGTGCTGTCGCCTGCATCTTGCTCAATGCATGCTGGGAACTGGTTAATCCAGTGTACCCAGTTTCACCACTCGCTCCTGAAACAGCCTGTAATCTCATCATCACATGACGGTATCACTCTGGTGCCACTTCCTGGTGATGACTGGGCCCTGATGTTATCAGAAAACCTTGATTCACGCAACAGATACTGGCATTACAAATACACAATGTGTGCGCAACAGAGTTACAGGGGAAAGATGGAAAGAAATAGATTAAATGAAATAAAACAAATTTAAAAAAAACAAACAACCTAGTTACAGTAATGTGTAGACAGCGAGCCCTTTAAACATTTATTCAGTAGTGGTAATAATGACAGATATCAGCAACCACTTTGTGACCAGTTAGAATTACTGGCCAACACATCCATAATGTAAAATTAAGATATCTATAACTTAATTACAAGTCGTCAGCTTTAACCGTTGATTTCTATTAAAACTCAGTTACAGATATCTCAGGTTCAGTTTTGATGTTATAATTCCAGATCGACATATCCATAATGTGACTTTGACTAGCTGCAAATCTAGTTAAGGATATTAACAGGTCATTTATTACGAGTGGAAATATTTATCAGGATATTTGTAACTTGATTACAATTTGTCAACTTTTACCATTGACATCTGTAACCGATCCCAAATCCAAAATCATCATATCGATAATGTAATTTAAATTGTTGCCATTATGATGAAGAATATCAACAGTTTATTTCTCGCTGTAGGAAACGTTCATGGTGAATATCTGCAACTTCATTACCACCAGTCAACTTTCACCATTGACTTCTATTCAGAATCAGTTGCAGATATCTGTAATTAAATTTTGACACGTCGTAATTCCAAATCAACATATCCAAAATGTAATTTTGAATAGTTGCAATTCTGACTAGTGAAAATGTTCTTTGTTGATATCAGTAACTTAAATACAACTAGTCAACTTTTACCATTGACTTCTTTTCAAACTCAATTACAGATGTAATTCCAAATCGACATATCCATAATGTAAATTTGACTAGCTGTAATTGTTGTTAAGGATATAAACAACTACTTTCACACTAGAGGAAATGGTTATTGTAGATGTCTGTAACCAGTCAACTTTTACCATTGACTACTATCTCTTCTGAACTCAATTACAGATAGCTGTGAGTCAATTTTGACGTGTTATAAATCTAAATCTACATATCCATGATGTAGTTTTGAATTGAATTTTATATATCGAGAATTCCATTTGTAATATCTGTATTTTAAGCTCAGTGGTAGAAGTCAACAGTTGCCATAACAACCACTAAAAAAAATAATTGTTTATATCAAGAATTAACTAAAATTGAGTTGAAGATATCAATCTGAATTGCAAGTAGTCAAAATTACATTATGGATATGTCAACTTTGAATTATAACTAGTCAACATTGAATTACAGATATCTGGAACTGAGATAGAATACTGTGATAGAACTGTGATAGAAGTCATTTCTACTAGTAACAGTTGAATTGTAGACATCTTTAATTAAAATTGCTCAAAATAAAATTATTGATATGCTGGCTTGGAACTGTAAATAGTAAGAATAAATAGAATCGTAACTTTTTCCACAAGTGGAAATTAAATTGTTTTTATCAGTGAAAAAGGATCTAAACTAATCTTAAACAAAATTAACGATATCTTTAAACTAGTTTTGACAAGTTGAAATGTAAAAATATATTTGTAATGTGTTACATTTGATTGACAGATATCTTAGATTAACACGACAAAAATCATTTTCACTTTTCAGCCCGACTGATTAAATGTTAAAAAGGTTTGCTGCCGTAGACGAGCGTTAACTCTGATCAGTCGTATTGACTGGTAAAATATTGATCAGAGGTCAAACTGATTTATCAATGTGATCTCATGGGGAGGGGGAGGGGGGGTTATTTATTTACTACAATTTAATTAATATTTATTAATCCAATCTTCATATTTACTATGATGTGGAGTTCATACCGTATACTTGAATGTGTGTGTGTGTGTGTGTGTCTGTGTCTGTGTGTTGTATGTAGCAGTGTGTGTGTGCGTGTGTCGACGTTACGAGAGGTTGTCTTAAAGCTTGTTCCCTCACACACAAAAACACACACACACACACATATATATATATATAGATATATATAAATATCAATGTAAACACAACTGTACCTGAACGCACCCACAGAAAGTCGAGTCATATGGGGACGAGGATGAAGAGGAGGAGGCGGAGGGGGAGGATGTGCCATCGGCTTGGCAACCGTGATGCACTGTAGCACATGGGACGACAATGAGGTGATGCACAGAAGGACCTGATGATGTAAAACACACAGACACTACCTGCTCCGCCCATCTCAGGGGGGCGGTCCTCTCTGATGTTTATTTGTTTGTTTTCTAAAGATTTGATTGGTTGGTTGGTTGATTGTGTTTTTTAATTTTTTAAATTTTTTTAGAGAGTGCTGAGAGTCGTAACTTTGTGCCTTCAGTATCTCATCGCCATGACCACGCCCACCCAGCACGCGCGTGCGCGCACACACACACACACACACACACACACACACATTTACAGTGGCGATGTCATGGCAACAATATATTTAACAAAAAAATGATTTAGTATCTTTTTGGTGCGACTCACGATGATGTCATGACGACTCATGTCAAAGTGAGTTTCGGCGGCCAAAGTCTGCGTGCTGATTGGCTCCTGGTTTGTTTCAGCAAAGCCCAAAGACACCATGTGAACCCCCCGTGACCTCTGACCTCTCCCACACCCTCAAGAAAAGTGTGACCATGCAGTGATAAGAGAACAGCTGTAAAGGCGTAAGAAAGAGTTAATCAGGTTCATTAGTTAAACAGTAACGAAGATGCTACAGAAGTATGAGGAGAATATTCAACTTTGATTGGCTGAAGGTTGTTTGAAGGTGGCATCCTGAATCTGGACTTTAAAAAAAAGATGAAACATTTGAAGAATTGAGTTACAGAGAAATGGTAACCCTAATCCGCAGGTTGGTTGTGCCAACACTTTGTGTCTTTTGATATTATATGAATTAAAGTGGCCATGGTGTAAACTTTCAGTTCACAATCATCAAATAGAAACTAGTGGAACAATGTTTTAATGCTCTCTGTCGCACCTTTTATCAACAGGAGGCTGGATACTTGATTATCCCAGTTGTCTTGAATGCAGCGTGAATAGCAGCTGGTAAAGGGAGTGTTGTATGGAAGCCCATTACTGCCAGGAAAAGACAAAAATTAGTGATGTTAGGAAGGATAAAAAATAAACACTCAATTTAAATCAAAATCATGACATGATTTAACAAGGTTTGTTTGTCATTTTACAACACAACGTCAACATGACGTCAGAAAGACGTTGGACTCTTAAGTCAGACAGACATTAAATTTTGGTCGGTTGCTATCATAATTTTCAGCCAGAAATTAAAAAGTCACAACTATCTCATTTATACTTAGAAAATCAAAATATTGTCTCAGTATCTCATAATTTTGACTGATTAATTTTTTATCGTCACTCCTAACAGTTCGTTATTAATATTTTTTGGTACAAATGAGCTTCTGTATTGTTTACAGAGCCAGCAGAGCAGGCCAACGCACCAACCAACGATTGTAGCTTTAAACTGATGAACACCGACATCAAGTGTTTGTGTGTGTGTGTGTGTATGTGTGTGTTGAGGTGAAGGGGGGGGGGGTATAAAACATGGCTGCACAATGTACAGACACATATCAGCCAACTGTCGCCTCGGGGACAGACAGGCGACGACGCCTGCTGACGACAGGGCTAAGCTAACACTAGCCGATCGCCCGCTAGCGTCCAGCCGCTAGCTGCTGCACTGACGTTTGTTTTCTCTACAGTGAAGCTAACACTAGCCTACTGCTAACTGACTGCTAGTAGCACATAGCAAGTTTATACCTGCTAGCTGTTAGCATTAATGTGGTTTTAAAGTTTTTTTTTTCATGTTGGTACCTCAGACTGCTCAGTTATCATTGTTATTATTATGATTATTACTGTTGTCATTGTTGTGACTAACACCCAGGGCATTTGGTTGAATCTACCAAAGTGCATTCCTTTACAAAGCTAGCTGAGAGCTAGCCGCTCAAACAAACAGACAGGTGGAAGGTAAGACAGGAAGCAAAAAGTACGTGAGTATAGGGGCAACAAGAGGAGAAGCTGCTTTTCAGATCATAAGGCCCTGTCCACGTGAATATAGACATGTTTGAAAATGGATATTTTCTCCGTCTGTCCACATGACTTTGTTTTTAGAAAATATCTCCGTCCACCCTAGAACACCAAACAACTCCAAAGTCTCAGATAAAGGCTATGTCAACAATGCATCAAATACCAGAGAAGAAGATCTGGAGCATGTGTAGTGGTAGATGATAGAATGTGGTCACCGAGCATCAAGCCCCCAGGAACCACAGACCTTATTTCAGACATTTAATCAAAAACCCATTGATTTGAAGACGAGGGCACCACGAGTGCTAACATGCTAACATGCTAACTCATTTCTGGGTTTTAAGGACTCATTTCTTAAGCACTCTCTATAGTTACCCTACAATAACATGGGCAAACTGCGCTAGCATCAACACAGACTGTTATTCAAACCCGCTAAGAAGTGACATTGTAGTGAATGAATAAATATTAAGCCAAACGCAGCAATAATCTATTTAATAATCCATCATATGTGAAGACGTGACTCATCTCATAAGATACAAGAAATAACCCCAACCCTCACTTTTAACTTAACCCTTCAGAGCTAGTTCCGTAGCTTCGAAGAAGGCTAGCTATCTACCTAAGCCAGCTACATGCTAGCTTAAGTGTTGATGCTTGTGAGGTATGCTAGTTTTGTTCAGTGACTACATTCTAGCATCTACCTTTTGACACCTATTTTGGTCAACATCTTTCTGATACACGGCCCAAGAAGCTACAGCGAAACAAAACGTGTGAACAGACAACATGGTGGAGTTGTCGTCAACAATCTGATAGTCTGCTATTGTCGTTTGCAAATAAAGGAGAGGATGTTATCAACGCTCTGTATCCAGTTTTGCAAAGTCTTAGAAGGCATTTTCAAAAATCTCTGTTTTAGTGACTTTAAACTGTTTGTGTGGACGTAGAGGAAAATATCTGTTGTCAGGAGTATTTGCAGACGTGTCGACGGGGCCTCAGGATGAAAGGAGAACATGTGATAGTGTTTTGTTTTTTAAAAAGTTTATAATTAACAGGCTGCATTCACACAGGAACATGAAGTCTGGTTGAACTGACCTCTTGGTAGCATTCAGAGAAAAATAATTTTTCTGCTCACGTGTGAAAGCACCTGTAGCCTAACTAGCCTGCTAGCTCGTTACCATGCTAGCCAGGTAGCCTACTAGCTTGTTAGCCATTTTCGCTTCTATCGGGAGGTCTCCATTAGCCGCTGTTAGCGTGAAGCTGCGCTGTATTTCTGTGATGTTTGCCAGCTGGGTTTTATTGTGGATTTTATCTGTAAATAATGTGGAAAAAATGTTTGAATAATGAATTTTTTGGGGTTGAATGCGCTGCTGTGCCACGCCGCGGCCAGTTTTACAACGTACTGTATCTACTGTACAGAACACAGAAGTCGACACTTTTCTAGTGAGCCTTTGTTAAATTTTATTGTGGTGGAAAAAATTATTATTATTATTATTATTATTATTAATAAAACAATTTTATTGTTTATTTTCCTGTGTTGTTTCTTTTTGTGAGTCAGTGTGTGAAATAAATGCAAAACAGTACAAGTTGTTGGGAATTTTAAACTGTTAGGTTTTTAGATTTGATCAAAAATCTGCTAACTCCATATTCTGAATTTTGTCATGTTTTTTGGCTACTAAGCTAATGTTACATTTTTAGATTGTAAGATTGATTAGCTGATAGAAAATCAGTGTAAAACTATTTTGATCATTGAAATCATTTTTCATATAAAAAGCTTCACAAACTTTTCCTAATGAGATCGATATAAAAGTCACATAATTTTTTGGGTTGTCTATCGGTTTGTCCGTCCATGTATCCCATTCTTGTAAACACAATATATCAAGAACGCTTTAAGGAAACTTCTTCAAATTTGGCACAAATGTCCACTTGGACTTCACGATGAACTGATGAGACTAAAGTGGTCAAAGATTAATGGTCACTATGACCTCGTCTGTCTCATTCTCATGATTGCCTTCTGGGAGTTTTTTATTTAAAATTTGCCACAAACGACTTAACAACAAACTGATTAGATTTTGGTGCTTAAAGGTCAATAGTAAAGGTCACAGTGACCTTACATACATCTCATTTTCGTGAATGGGATATCTCAAAACACCGTAAGAGAATTTCTTTAACTTTGGCACAAACATCACCTTTCAGAGAGGGATGAACTGATTAGAATTTGTTGGTCATGGGTCAAAGTCACTGTGACCTCATCCATTGCATTCTTGTGAACATTGTATCTTAACACCTTGAAGAATTTTTTTCAGGTTTGGCACAAACATCAACTTGCATTCAAGGGTGAAGTGATTAGAATTTGGTGGTCAAAGGTCAAGGTCCCTGTGACCTTGCGTCCATCTGATTCCCATCGAGGCAGTGTCTCAAGAACATTTTGAGAGAATTTCCTCAAATTTGGCACAAACGTCCACTTGGACTCAAGAATGAACTAATTGGAATTCGGTGGTCAAAGGTCAGTGTGACCTCACAAAACATGTTTTTGTCCATAACTGAATAATTCATTCACTAATTCTGACCAAACTTGACACAAATGTCTGACAGGATGAAATAATGAAGGTCAAAAGGTCAAAGGTCAGCTTGACTGTAACATCATCATCATGTTTTAACGTCATATCTCAGGAACAGAAGGGGAGACATTTGGTCAGATACTGAATTGGTGACTCTAATCTTGAAACTGTGCTGATTGTATAGATCTTCTGTGTGTGAAGCATCCATGTTTTCACTGACATGGATGGAGACTGTCAGAGACACTGGACTGGTGGGTGGAGTCATACAACCACAGGGTGGACTGGTGGGCGGAGTCATACAACCACTGGGTGGACTGGTGGGCGGAGTCATACAACCACAGGGTGGTGATTCTACTACTACTATTGAAAGAAGTTTTGACTGTAACAGAGTATTTCTACTGTGGTATAAGGATCTGAATACTTCCTCGTCTGCATACCAGAGCTGCTGAGACAGATTTTTATTCCTCACCAAACTATTTTAAAAACATAGAATTTATTAACTTAATTCCACATCATTTCAGAAGGTGGAGGACATTTTGGTGAATCCTTGGAAGGTGGAGGCTCCTCTCCATCAAACATCTTCACACACAAAGAGGGGGACTCCTAAATTAAAGTCCTGCTGGATTAGACCGGGGTTACCATGACAACACACCACTCACTCACAGGTGCTAATGAATGCGGCGTTGTCATGGAGGAGGAGGATGTGACATCACGGCTCATTGCAGGGCACGTTGTCATGACAACCAGTGATTACCAGTGTGATGCAAATAGCACTGTTTAGATCAGTGCACACAACAGACGGCACACACACACACACACACACACACACACACACACAGGAAGTCAAAGTGTCATCAGTAAAAATAACCTTTATTTGCAAAGAATGACAAAAACCGACTTTAAATGTGATCCTCTGATATTTCCTGTAGCGCCACCATGAGGCTGACGTGTGTGGTTGTGAGTTAAATGTCTCTTAACTTTTCATTTAAAGTTTCCAAAACTCTGGTTTCTGACTGAATACCTGCAAAACTAGGGACATTCCAATGAGCCTCAAATGTGCTTTGTGTTTACGGCTAATTATGGGATGTTAACATGCTAACACGCTTCATAAGGAAGCTAAACATCAAGAATGTTAGCGCTGTCATTAGCACATTGACGTTAGCATTTAGCCTGTGCTGAAGTCTCAGGGTTTTGTTGGGGGTTAGTCTTTTTCACTGCAAAACATTTTTATTTGTATTTTTAGATTTTATGTTTTTATGTATTTTATTATATATTTTACATTATTTACTTTTTTTCCCCACAACATTGTTGCATAATAGCCAATAGGGAAGAGGGGGATTTTTAGGATCAAGATAATTTATTAAGTTGTGTATTCAGTTTTTTCTTTTGGCCAAATTGTAAAGTTCCTTCACAGCCTGATCCACTGGGATTGGAACCACTGACTCTTCAACAACATATGAAGCACATCAAAACACCAGATCCATTGTTTTTCTATGTAACTGTGTCATTACCTTTATTTAGCTTCAGTTTTTATTTAAAGCGTCTGGATCTATCAAATATATGAAGGTGCATCAAAAAGGTGTGCAAAGTATTTAGAATATTTCCATCTGATGGGGAAAAAGACGTGACAAAATAATCTCAATTCGAGGTTCATTTAGTGGATGATTTGGAGCTTTCAGTCACATCACATGGTCTGCATCGAGGTGAAAAAGAAACTAAAATTTGCCCAACATGTCAAAGAACCTTTCGTAAAAGAACTTGTTAAAAATGTGAATTTAAACATTTACAACTGGGCTTTTCCATACACTGATGAAGACCATGAGTTATGATCAAAATTGTTTTCTCAGGCCAGCGGTTCAAAAGAGAATTAACGTATAAAGATATAAAACAGAGCAAAGCAACATTTGCGTTGCTGGAAAACAATTTAAACAATTAATTGATGATCAAAATCGCTGCACATTCAAATTCAGCTGATTAATGAACTGCCTAAGTTAGTGGATCTCACAGCCCGTCACACACACACCTCCTCCTCCACACACTCTTCCTCCCCTGTCATTGATGAGATAATTAGCTCGCCATGGTAACGAGGAGTCGCCATGTGATTGGAGCAGCTGTGTTCCATATTAGGCAGCAGGAGATTAGCAGGAAGGACACGGCTGCTAATTATAGGAGCTAGCATGAAGCTAACGGGCTAACTGGTGAGAGCAGCTGCTGCCTGGCTCATGGGCGGGTCGGTGGAGGATTCTACCCATAATGTTGATTGAGAACTGGTCATTTAAAGAAAACATGAACTGAAACCTAATTTAATTAATGAATGGGGCCTTTTTTGATTCTGTACATGAAGTATTTAAGAGAAGTATTTAAATAATTCACGGAAGTAAAAACACCAAATATTTCATTATTGTCATAAATCACTGAAAATGTTTGTGATAAATCTGCCACCGTTTTCACAGCGTACCAGCGTAACACCAGCACTCTGTGGTGGAATATAACCGAGTGCATTTACCGACAAAACTGGGTGTTTATTTATTTAGACATTGGGACATTTCCAGACACGTTTGTGGCAACAAAACGATATTTAAAAGCCAAACATGATCTTTTTCTAAACTCTAACAAAGTGAGTTTTTTGCCTGACGTCACCACATGTTACCCTGAGTGTTGTCACAGCATACAGCTGAAAATTAAATTGTTCAAAAACATTACGTTTAAGAATATCTGCTATTTGACATTTTATTTTATTTGTTTTTTTGTTACATGTTCGGTTTCCAGAAACTTAAAATGCCAACATGTGTTCTGTTTATGGGGCTGATATGTCAGAGCTGTTTCTGCGCAGTTTGGATGCATGAATGATGAGTCACAGTTTCTCCTGAGCTGTTGCTGAGTCAGTGAACGTTTCTTCTGATGAACAGTGACGGAGGTTAATCTGGATTCTATTCTGCTGCAGCTCTGATGAGATTCAACTGGTGTGTGTGTGTGTGTGTGTGTGTGTGTGTGTGTGTCCATCTAAAACTGGATGTAGCTCAGAGCTCAGCAGGAGATCATGACGGTCTCACACACACATACACAGGTAACCTGAGAGAGTGTGACCTGCTGCAAAGGATTATGGGTCCACATTAATATCCACTTACTGTTCAAATGTTAACCCACCCTCTGTGTGTGCATCCTGTGTGTATGATAACGGAGCAGCTGCGACATTTATTGTTCGTCATAAATTCAGACACACTGAAACCTGTCTGTTGGACACCTGCTGCTCACAGTTGTTGACACTTGGTTTATACCTTTAATTTAAGCTCCTCCCTCACCTGAGCAGTGTGTGTGTGTGTGTGTGTGGGGGGGTATACACGCCCATAAATGTCTCCCACCCACCCTCCTCAGACCGCTGCTGCCTTAAAGGGATAGTGCACCCAAAAATGCAAATTCAGCCATTATCTACTCACCCATATGCCGAGGGAGGCTCAGGTGAAGTTTTAGAGTCCTCACATCACTTGCAGAGATCCAAGGGGAGAGGAGGTAGCAACACAACTCCACCTAATGGAGGCTGACGGCGCCCCAGATTCAAACGTCCAAAAACACATTATTGAAACCACAAAATATCTCCATACTGCTCGTCCGTAGTGATCCAAGTGTCCTGAAGCCCCGACATAAAAAGTTGTTTGGGAAAACCTCATTTAAACTCTGTTTTTAGCCTCAATGTAGCGTGTAGCTCTGACTGCGTGCTTCATGTGTGTTCACATGCTTTCGCTACGGACGAGCAGTATGGAGATATTTTGTGGTTTCAATTATGTGTTTTTGGACGTTTGAATCTGGGGCGCCGTCAGCCTCCATTAGGTGGAGTTGTGTTGTCTTTGATTATATCTGAACATTTGAATAATTATTATTAATTGAATGTCTCTGTATTTGTGGCTAAATAAAAACATGTATGTGGTGTTTACACGCAGACTTTAACATTTTCATTTACAAGCTGAA